CAAGTCAAAGATAATTAACTCAGAATAATACCTGTTGAGGCAATACATCTGGATAAAAATCAGATTTGATAAATGCCCAGTAAGAACCATTCTGAAAACATTTAGAGATTCACAGACTATAGCTATCTCAGCTCCTCCCCTAAATATACAGTCTTTTTAGCATGCAGAAAGCCAAACAAAAATCGAATCAGACATTCTTATCTCACTCACAACAAGCTGTATTCTACAACTTATCCTAGGTAACTGCACAAATTTCATCATGAGGCGTTTCCATAGCGATATGTAGATGGCTATTAAAATGTCCAAAGATGGCAAACAATGTTTTATTAGAGAAGATACAGAAAAAGGTTATAATGCACAAAGTCCTGAATTCAAATTGAAACAAAATAATTAGACTGGGTCACATGAAGGTAGGTTGCAGAAGTCAAAAAGATATACATAGAAAGAAAGACTGTCTGAAAGCATTAAGAACGTTCTCTTTAGTGCAAGTATTTCTTTTATTATAAAGTGACTTCTATTTATCATTGATCTCCAGAGAATCAGTGTTTAAAGGGAAAAATACTCTGTATTTGAACTGTGTGTTGAATTGTATGCATCTAATAATTTCTTCAAGTAGAAATTTCATACCTCCCATGGAAAAACAGTTACTCAAAAAGAGACAAGCAATTAATTCAGAAACAAGTGAAAGGGACAATATGGCAGCCTACCAGAGACAAGAATCAGTCCACAACCTTTCCATTCCTTGTCATGGAGACAAAATTGAAACTGTCATTTGATTTGCCAGTATTTTTGATCATGGCTCAGCTGGGCATACTGCCTCAGCTGGGCTAAGGCAAATGCATACAAGCAGAGGAGGGAAACAAGTACATACGTATAACAAATAAAACTTCCTCAGTTTATTCCCCACTCACATTCCTAGGAACTACGGTTAATGACGGCAATCACCAAACTACTGATTCTGTTAAAAAATTCCTTGCTTAAGCATCACCCAGCCATCTCACGATGACCCCCCAACTAACTACATCAGCTTCCTGTAGTAAAATAACTGCAATTTTTACTCTTCCAAGTTTAACACTACTAATATTATCCAAATCAAGACAGAAAAGATACCAATTGTTACATATCATTATCTCTCAATATAATGATTTCCTCTTTGCTAATAGGATTCACCCCTTCATGGACTGCTGCCTTCTCATATCGAAGGGGCTTGAGTAATTCAGAGAAGCTATAGGCTATGCCGTGCAGGGACCCCCAAGACGGACAGGTCATAGTGGAGAGTTCTGACTAAACGCGATCCACCTGGAGCAGGAACTGGCAAGCCATTCCAGTATCTATGCCAAAACAACTCCATGGACAGAAACAAAAGGCTAAAAGATATGACACTGGAAGATGAGCCCCTCAGGTCAGAAGGCGTCCAACATTTTACTGAGGAAGAGCGGAGGACAAGTAGAAGTAGCTCCAGAGCTAACGACGTGGTTGGGCCAAAGCCGAAAGGACAGTCAGCTGCGGACGCGCCTGGAAGTGAAAGGAAAGTCTGATGCTGCAAAGAAAAATACTGCATAGGAACCTGGAATGTAAGATCTATGAACCTTGGGAAGCTGGATGTGGTCAAACAGGAGATGGCAAGAATAAACATTGACATCCTGGGC